TAATTTTCTTCTTTTACATTTTTTTTTTTTTCAACAAGTTGGCTGTCTCCCACCGAGGCAGGGTGACCCAAAACAGAAAGAAAATCCCCAAAAAGAAAATACTTTCATCATCATTCAACACTTTTACCACACTCACACATTATCACTGTTTTTGCAGAGGTGCTCAGAACACAACAGTTTAGAAGCATATACGTATAAAGATACACAACATATCCCTCCAAACTGCTAATATCCCAAAACCCCTCCTTTAGAGTGCAGGCATTGTACTTCCCATTTCCAGGACTCGAGTCCAGCTATATAAAAATAACAGTTATTATGCATAATGTAAATTACCTAGGATAACCCAAAAATTCCAGGCAGTGATAGACAGACAGAGAGATAGAAAGACAGAGAGACAGAAACATGTTTGTGTGTATCAATGAAAACAAATAAAGCCAGGGTTCCCCGAGCGCCCATTTATCAAATGTCACCGAGCTGATAACAGATGCCATAACACGGTTCTTCAAGGAGTGCGATATACATATACTCCAGGCAGACAGATAAGCAGAGACAGACAGACAGGCAGACAGACAGACAGACAGAGAGACAAGACATGTTTGTGTGTAACAGTGATAAATAGAGCAAGGGTTAGCGGGAGTAGTGGGCATTTATCAGATGTCTCTAGACTGTCAACAGTATAGGGATGCCTTTCATAACACCATGCTTCAAGGTATGTGCCAGGGTATCTAAAACATTGCTGGGACCTATAAATACTTTGTATATATTTCTAGACAATAGTAAATAACCTAGGCAGGTGTAAATGTTCGCCTGTCAATGTGATTGTGACTATTTGAGCACTATTTCAGTACTTAATATTAGTGTCAGAACAAAGATTGGCTATGAAATTACAAGAACTATTACGAATTGTAATTATCAGAACATAAAAAATATATAAATTAAAATAAAAATGAGAAAAAAAAAGGTATATTGGCAATACTTCTGCAAGCGGCAGGAGTCGATGTTGCCGACAGGTGAGCATCCAGAGCCAACTTCACGGTCTTATATCTCAATAAGTATTGACCCTAAATTTTTTTTTTAATCCTATAACATGTAGAAAAATGTACTCTTCATTTTAAAAGAAAATACAATTTTTTTATTTTTCAAAATACAGTGGACCCCTGATTCACGTTATTAATCCGTTCCTGAGAGCTCATCATAAAGCAAAATTATCGGAAAGCGAATCAGTTTTCCCCATAAGTAATAATGGAAATCAAATTAATCCATGCAAGACACCCAAAAGTATGAAAAAAAAAACTTTTACCACATGAAATATTAAGTTTAATGCAGTAGAATAATTACAATAACAATAATAACAATAGAATAATCACAATAGAATAATTGACACTTACCTTTAATGAAGATCTGGTGATGATTGATGGGATGGGAGGAGGGGAGAGTGTCAAAGTTTTTAATGTTTAGAAGGGGAATCGCTGTTTTGTAATCACAGTTGCACCTTTTGCAAGAACAGCTTCTTTGATTGCCGTTTTCCTGCTCACTATAGTAGAGATGGTTGATTGGGATTTACTATACAACTTGGCCAGGTCCGACACACGCACTCCACTTTCATACTTTGCAATTATCTCTTTCTTCATTTCAATAGTCATTAGCACCCTTGGTCTCGATGGGTTGGCACTAGAAACTTTCTTGGGCCCATGGTGACTTATTTTGCAGAAACAAGCACCAAAAACAGTGATAATATGGATAATATGGAATGTACCGAATGTATCCTTAGATGCGCGCACACTGGCTGGCTTGTAAACACTGGCACATATGGGGCAGTTCAGGCCACATGTGGACACGTCTCGTACAAATCGTATCACATACCGGGTTTTGTAACGGGAACCGAGGCAAATTTTTTGTGATATAATGCTTCGGATACCAGATTTATCGGATACCGATGACTTCGCGAACCGGGGGTCCACTGTATTCAGAGTGCCACACGAGTGAACGTAGATCTACGTTTAGACAGTTTAACCCTTTCAGGGTCGCCATGCCCTCTCCGAGACTTGTTCTCAGGGTCGCCAAATTTAAAAAAAAAAATTATTTTTTCTTATGAAGGGATAGAGAATCTTTTCCCAATCATAATGACACTAAAAGTATGAAATTTGATGGAAAACTTCCGGAATTATGCTCTCGCGAAGTTAGCGGTCTCGACAATGTTTACGCATCGGCAATTTTGCCAACTTTGAGACCTATTTTTGGCCAATTCCAGTGTACTAGTCAACAAAAATCATAACTATTTCACTAGAACTCCATTTTTTCTATCGAATGAGTACAAGAAACCACCCATTTACTGATTTCAACTATCCAATAAAGGGTCAGAATTTAGCAATTTTGCCAATTTCACACAAATTTCAGAAGATGCCAATTTCCAAATAGGGTCCAGAATAAACAAGAAAGACATTGTTGATAAATTAGACACATGTGCAACTCTTGGGTATCTTTATTGAGGAAACGTTTCGCCACACAGTGGCTTCATCAGTCCATACGTAGGAGAAACTTGAAGAACAGGAGGAGAATGAGGTAATCAATCCCTCAACCTTGAGTCGATGTGTTCAGTCCATCAGTCTTGAATAGAATACGGCATATGAGCGGAGAAGCAGCTTATAAACCGTATGGCAGGAGAGGTGCAGCAGTCATAGGTGGTGTCACATTTGTTCAATGTGGAAGTAGGTCGTGCCCAAGAATTAGGCAAGCGAAGAATTCCTAAGTATTAAGATCCCAAGATTGATGGACTGAACACATCGACTCAAGGTTGAGGGACTGATTACCTCATTCTCCTCCTGTTCTTCAAGTTTCTCCTACGTATGGACTGATGAAGCCACTGTGTGGCGAAACGTTTCCTCAATAAAGATACCCAAGAGTTGCACATGTGTCTAATTTATCAACATGTTGGTTCTCTGAACCATTCATCTACAAAGAAAGACATTCCTGGCACTAAAATAACATTTCCTCTGTTCGTTAGTCATGTCCCCATGCCTCTCTTACATTCTTTTGCTTTCCACTTTGAATTTTTATTCTCACAAAAAAATAGAAGATTTACTATTATGCAGACTATTGCATTAGTGCAGAAATGGTATAAATAATACCAGCGCACTTGTGAAAGAATATTAGACTCACCAGTTGACGTGTATTGGACGCATAGCATGATTTGTTTACTTTTGAACTTTGGCAAAAATCGAAGATTTCTGCTATTTTGATCTCAATTTTAAGGTACTTTTCATTGTAAAACCAGTCAAAATCATCTCAATTTCTGTAATATGTCTTCCATTCTATAAAATGAGACCAGGAAAACTAGAATACCAGTGCAAAGTCTCTGTTTTAAACCAAAAACACTGTCAAAGTTTTTTTTCTCTCATTACGCACTGTGTGCTGCAGGATTTTTTTTATACTGTGCACACTGACCACATAGACCCATTCTTTCATATGTAGGCCTACCAGCTTTCTCTCACTAGATTTGAGGGTGCTAGAATTTAGGCATGCTAGTACGTCAAAAACCCTGGTGCGTCAGCTGTACTAGTACGTCCGAAACCCTGAAAGGGTTAAGGGTTAACTAACTTTTTCAAGATCTCCACAACACCTGTCTCTGTGTCTACTACCATCACCTCACCAAGCACAGTGTCCCACCTTGTGACATCTGCCTCTGGGTCTACCATTACGTCACCAGGAACACGGATGCACCTTGTAACACCTGTCTCTGGGTCTGCTACCATCACTTCACCAAACACACTGACCCACCTCATGACTCCTGTTGGCCTCCTCTCCTTTTGCTCCTGTTAGCCCTTTGACCTCTCCTTGCTCTGGTTGTTCAGGGTAGCAATCTTTTACTCTTCTCAACATGACACTACCATCATCTGCTGTCAGTGATATGGGGTCTGACCCCGAGGACCTTTCAACTTTTCTCACAGCAGTTAAAGCTTGTTCCTTAACCTCTACCATTCTGTGAATCCAACTTCCAGCCTTTTTTGGCATGTAATTATATGTTTTTATGTTGTATCCTGTCATTATATTTGGTTTCTTGCCATGGGTTTTGTACAGTTATGTGCATTTGGGAGACAGGCTCGGGCATGTAGTACTGGCTCTGGCATGGGGTCTTAGGTCATCTGGAACCTAACCTCCCATTATTTTATTATTGTGAAAAATGGGGGTTCACATAATGATTCACATTATACAGAATTTTCTGGAAAGCATCCTCTTTTGTTAAACAAGGGACAGGTATGTAGATGAATGGTTCAGAGAACCGACATGTTGATAAATTAGACACATGTGCAACTCTTGGGTATCTTTATTGAGGAAACGTTTCGCCACACAGTGGCTTCATCAGTCCAAACAGAGGAGAATCTTGAAGAACAGGAGGAGAATGAGGTAATCAGTCCCTCAACCTTGAGTCGATGTGGTCAGTCCATCAATCTTGAATAGAATACGGCATATGAGCGGAGAAGCAGCTTATAAACCAAGATACCGAAGAGTTGCACATATGTTTAATTTATCAACATGTCGGTTCTCTGAACCATTCATCTACAATCCTGTCAGACACTGCAACTTCTTGGGATCTTAATACTTGGGAATTCTTCGCTTTCCTAACCCTTGGGCACGACCTACTTCCACATTGGACAAATGTGACACCACCTACGACTGCTGCACCTCTCCTGCCTACGGTTTATAAGCTCCTTCTCCACACTTATGCCGTATTCTATTCAAGATTGATGGACTGACCACATCGACTCAAGGTTGAGGGACTGATTACCTCATTCTCCTCCTGTTCTTCAAGATTCTCCTCTGTTTGGACTGATGAAGCCACTGTGTGGCGAAACGTTTCCTCAATAAAGATACCCAAGAGTTGCACATGTGTCTAATTTATCATCAAGGGACAGGTATTTAAGTACCCTTAGTGGTGAATTTCTGAGGTTTTGTTGAAGGAACATTATCAAATTGAAAACAGATTTTTTCAATTGTTTCAGGGACTGCTGATAGAATATGTTGGTAACATTGATGGCCTGGGGATATTCTCACTCGAGACTTGGATATTTCCACATGTTAAATATAGGCTTCCTTTTGAGAAAGCAAACCATAGATTAATTGTAAGTATTTTTTAATATTCCTATATATTGTAATGGAAAGTGAAATGCTGTTGTGCCAATTTTAATGCTACTCAGATATTTTTTTACCCTTGAGGAAACTTTCTACAATGTAATACTTATTGCTGCTTGTGTTTCCATCAGGACTTAGAAGTAGGAGCAGATTTTGATGTGAAAGAACAAGTCTTTCGCAGTTTTGGTGGAGCTTTGGGTCCAAACAGTGACATCACTGTGGTTACGCGATGGTCTGGAGGGGTAACAGGTGATGGAAAAGTCGCTGGGGAGGACACTGTACAGTACCCACTTCTTGTTCTCAGTGATCCAACGTCGGCTCTTGCTGCTGCTGAGAAGATCACCCTGGAACCTGGAGAACAGGTCTTGTCATGTTTCCACCTGTAATTTATTGGCTTAATTTTATTTAGACTTTCTCAGTTTTTCCAGGACTTGAATCTTGGACTCATTAAATTGTAATAACACCATTGCAAACAAATCATAGATCCGTCCTCCCTATGGTATATAGAAATATACCTAGTTGGAGTAATCTTGTTAGGACTGCATGGTTCAGTGGATAACACTCTGGCCTGCTAGTTTTAGGACTGGCTTGCCATGGGTTTGAATCCCACCCTTTCTGTGATTTGTGTCCTGGAGATGGGAAGGGCAGTGCCTGTACTCTGAAGGAAAGGTGGGGATATTGCAGACAGTGGGTAATCTGAATTGTGGTGTCAGCACACTTCTGGCAAGACAGTTTGCTAAATTATGGTAAATGTGTTTTCTTTGGGTCACCTTGCCTTTTTGGGAGATGGCCTTTAAGGTAATTTTTTTTTAAGGATATATGTGTTATTTTCTTATTCTTTTTAGTAATCTTTACAGGAAAAGGGGTTACTAGCCCATTGTTCCCGGCATTTTAGTTGACTTTTACAACACGCATGGCTTACGGAGGAAAGATTCTTATTCTACTTCCCCATGGATATAAAAGGAAAAGTAATAAGACCAAGAACTATTAAGATAAAATCAAAGAAAACTCAGATGAGTGTGTATAAATAAATGTGTACATGTATGTGTAGTGTGACCTAGGTGTAAGTAGAAGTAGCAAGACATACCTGTAATCTTGCATATTTATGAGACAGACAAAAGACATCAGCAATCCTACCATCATGTAAAACAATTACAGGCTTTCGTTTTACACTCACTTGGCAGGACGGTAGTACCTCCCTGGGTGGTTGCTGTCTACCAACCTACTTTATATGTGTATGCTTCTAAACTGTTGTATTCTGAGCACCTCTGCAAAAACAGTGATAATGTGTGAGTGTGGTGAAAGTGTTGAATGATGATGAAAGTATTTTCTTTTTGGGGATTTTCTTTCTTTTTTGGGTCACCTTGCCTCGGTGGGAGACGGCCGACTTGTTAAAAAAAAAAAAAAGTGTTATCTCTTTCAAAGGTGTGTCATTATGCTGGGGAAGGGGTCATAATCTGAGGAATTAGAGCTGCACTCTGCTTCCTCTGATGAAACCAGATTATTTTTTGATCTCCTAGATGCTATATTGCTTCTGCTGGTTTAGTACTTCTCCATGACTATGTAATCTACATTACTGAGGGCAGAGAAACTGCATATGTAATTTTGATCTCATGAGGCTATCTTTCCAGTTTTCATTTCTGTTAACTTATCAAACCATCTGCATTATTTGGTGATACTCACATACAAAAGGGATAGTCTTAAATTTTCACACCTATAATAATCTGTCTTAGCATCAGGATGGATTTTTTTTTTAATTATTTGTATTTTCTGTAGGCCATTATTGTAAGATACAGAGTCATATCTATTAAATGTAAATATTGGGACCATGAGCTTTCCAATTAATCAAATCATTTTGATTGTATGGAGGAGCATGGATAGCTCTGGTCAGTAAAGGTCAGTCATTAATTAATAATGTTCTTGATGCTTGGATTAAAGTATCACAAACCTTACCTGATGCAGAGCGAGAAACCACTTTTACAGTAAGACACGTGTACAGTATTGGGATATTGAGGAAATGTTGCACCATAAATGTCTTCTTCATTTCATGGCAAAACATTTTGTCAGTGGAGTATTGTAATACTGTGCACCACTTGGCCAGAAATATGGAGAACAGGTAAGAGAGAGCTTTATATTTTGGCCTCAGAGACCCTCTTCAATAGATTTGCTAAAGGTGGTCTCTGACTGAAGCCAAAATATACAGATCTCTCTCTCTCTTGCCTGTGTTTTATGTTTCTAAATTGTTTCTCACTTTGTATAATCCAGATTTTGGGTTGTATGCATTAGTCTACAACAAACCCTGCAAATATGTAAGTTTTCAACCATACTTTCACAGGATATATATACTGAGAGGTGTTTGTCTCCCATTGTATATATGCTGAGAGTTTATGTTTTTATCCCTAAAGTGGAGATAAAGGTATTCTTGACTGGTGATGAACAATTAATATTAAGCCTTAATGATACTCTTGTATTTGATAGGCTTTAAGTTCAACAAACCACTCATAATCACAAACTACATTTTTGTTTTTCATCCACAACATAAAGGGTAATAAATTAATTAACTGATGAGGGGCAGTATCTGGTGTATCTTGAAGTTAAAGTTCTTTAGTTATAACGAATGTAAGTAAATAAGGTGCAACTACTGTATCAAACCATGTATATGTGGAATTCCCTTGTATTTTTGGTAATATTTAAGTTATGATAGTAAGAGAATTTTTTGCAGCCCTATTCATATAGTCATTCATGAATTTTTTCACACTAAAATTGTTAGAAAAAATAGATAAGAAGTTGAAGGACACTCATATTTGTTGATTTGGAGGATTGGGTAATTTTATGGATTTGTCTGGTTAAGTTACACAAGTGTTCGTAGTCACAACTACCATATAGATGCTCCTCGTTTTATGATGGTTCGATTATGATGTTGCAACTTCACATTATACAATAAATGTACATTCAGTACTGTACTTTTATTGATAGAATGAACTTTTTCAATGCTGGTATTTAGTTAGTTGCAGTAATTATTTGTTTATTTGCTTATTCAGTGACAGTAGTTATTTATTTTTTATCATATTCAACTTATTATATTTTCAACTTACAATGGGTTCATCGGAATGTAACCCCATCATAAGTCGAGGAGCACCTGTATTTTTAACACAGTGGGTCACTCTACCCACTAAGGTAGGGTGACCTGAAAGAGAGAAACTCTTTCACCATCACTGTCTTGCCAGAAGCATGTTGACAACCCCACCCCTTCTTCAGAGAGCAGCCACTGTACCTCCCACCTCCACGGAGGCAAGAAAAAGGGAAATGTGTGAGAGTATAGTCATACCAATGCCATTATGTGGGTACGATGCATGGGTCTTCAGTGTTACAGTGAGGATGAGGCTGTGAATAGTATACAGAGAATTGGGATCTTGGAGATTATCCAGAAGGCAGAAGAAAGGTTGTTGAGGTGGTTCAAACATCTGGTAAGGATGGAGTAAAATAAGATAGCTAGGAGGGTTGTAGGGAGGTAGTAGGGGAGATTTTGGGAGTTAGGGGATTGGAAATTCAACAGGCTTGTGTAAGCATTTTAGACAGGAGTGAGTGGAGGCAAGTGGTTTTTATGACTTGATGTTCTGTTGGAGTGTAAGAAAGGTAACATATGTGAAGGGATTCAGGGAAACCAGTTAGCTAGGCTTGAGTCTTGGAGATGGGAAGTTCAGTGCCTGCACTCTGAAGGTGGGATGGGAATGCTGCAATTCAAAGGATCATCTGAACTGTGGTGTCAACATGCTTCTGTTAAGACACTGAATGAATGTGTTTCTTTGGGAGACTGCCAATCTGTTAAACTGAAGTCTTACAACATTATTCAGTTGTCAGTTATTTTGATTTCATTCATGTTTTTGCTACAACTCTTAATTAATAATAGTTTCTTTTATCCAGGTCATTTCACACATTTTTGATTTGCAAAAGCCATTGCTTCCTGGGTCTTGGATGATTCGAGTGGTGATTGATAATGTTGTGATAGCATCTCACACATTCCTCATACTGCCACTACAATTTATGCAGGGCCGCCAGATATCAGTCAAAGAGGCCAGGTAGGAGAGTGCATTTCTGTATTTATCTGTATTTATCTCTCTATGTTTGCAATGTTATTTTGATATAGTGCTTGACCATGTAATACCTTCAAATGATCTAGATAATTCATTTATCTAATACAGTGGACCCCCGCATAACGATTACCTCCGAATGTGACCAATTATGTTAGTGTATTTATGTAAGTGCGTTTGTACGTGTATGTTTGGGGGTCTGAAATGGACTAATCTACTTCACAATATTCCTTATGGGAATAAATTCGGTCAGTACTGGCACCTGAACATACTTCTGGAGTGAAAAAATATCGTTAACCGGGGGTCCACTGTACTTAATTTAGTAGTCAGTTTACCATATAACACTGACTGTAAGTTGGCCTGAACCCTAAAACTTTGTTTTAGGGCCTAGTTAATTTTTTACTCTTGTCTACTGTTAGTTGGGATGTACACTTTGTTTCCCAGTATTATAAGTACACATATGATAGCTGATTGTTGTGGGTTGCATCCTGAAGGGGTGGCAGTTTACCTTGGATAGAGATGGGCTTTGAAATGACCTGAGGTAGACTAACAGCTCATAGCCTGTAAATTGAATGGTACCAAATAAAAAATGATATTGAGCATAGGTATAGCAAATAAGGATAGTGTCTTTATTAGGTATATGAGAACAAGAGGGCTTAGTTGAAAATTACACCTTAACCCTTTCAGGGTCCGTCCCGTAGATCTACGGCTTTACGGTGAGTGTCCAAACCGTAGATCTACGCCATGAGCTCAGCTCACTCTGATAAACTGTGAGTGGTACATTTGGGCCTAGATATGAGAGAATACATCTATGTGGTATGTGTGCACCACATAAAACAGATCCTGCAGCACACTGTGTATAATGAGAGAAAAAAACTGAAATCATGATTTTTTGATTAAAACAGCAACTTTGCAGTGTTTTTTCGTATGTTTTTTATAGTTGTATTTGCGATTTCTTGGTCTCATTTGATAGAATGGAAGACATATTACAGAAATAGAGATGATTTTGATTGGTTTTAGCATTGGAAATGGCTTGAAACTGAGCTCAAAGTAGCGGAAATGTTAAATTTTTGCCGATATTCAAGAGTAAACAAACGACCTCACACGTCTAATACACGTCAGCTGGTGGGTCTAATATACATTCACAAATATGGTGATGATATTTATACAATTATTACAGTATTGCATAACAGTAAATCTTCTATTTTTTGGTGTGAATAAAAATTCATTATGTGAATAAAAAATCAAAATGGAATTTATTTGTAAAGCCTCAAAACATAACTAATGAACAGGGGAAATGTTAGTTTAGTGCCAGGAATGCCTACATTGTTTATTCTGGACCCTATTTTGAAATTGGAATATTTTGAACTTTGTGTTAAATTGGCCAAATTAACAATTTCCAATCACTTTATTTTGTAGTTGAAACAGTTGACTTGGCGATTTCTTGTGCTCAATCGATAGAATAGAAGTAATACTAGTGAAATAGCTAAGAATTTGGTTGATTGGAATAATGTAATTGGCCTAAAATGGGAGTCAAAGTCGGCAAAATCGCCGATTCGTAAATATCGCTGACACATCAAAATTCGCGAGAGCATAATTTCGTCAATTTTCCACCAAATTTCGTACTTTTTGTTTTATTACCTTCACAAAAAGATTCTCTACGATTTCATAAGAAAAAATAACAATTTTTTTTTTTGAAAATTCTTGGACACTGGTGCGTGACTCCAGATTTGGGCCTTGGACCCTGAAAGGGTTAATGAGCCACAGGGATATCAGGAATGACTTCATCTCATTAAGAGACAAAGAACGTTATCCATGCAGGCAAAGAAGGAAATGTATGAGAGTGTAGTGGTACCAACATTTATATAGGTTTGAAGCATGGATTGTGAATGTTGCAGCAAGGAGGAGGTTGGAGGCACTGTAGATGTGTCTGAGAGTAATGTGTGGTGTAAATACGCAGAGAATTCATTGTTTGGAGATTAGGAGGAGGTGCAAAGTTACTATAAGAACATAAGAAAATAAGAAAGAAGGAACACTGCAACAGGCCTACTGACCCATGCGAAGCAGGTCCATGTGTGACCCCCAATGACCCCCCCCCCAGATAAACCCAATGACCCACTCAGTCTGGTCACCTCCACTCAAGGATGGAGCACGGCACCAGACCCAGGAGCACAAGCTAGTCAGGTCCAACTCACATCCACCCACACCCCACTCACTCATGTATTTATCTAACCTATTTTTTAAAACTACACAACGTTTTAGCCTGAATAACTGTACTCGGGAGTTTGTTCCACTCATCCACAACTCTATTACCAGACCAGTGCTTTCCTATATCCTTCCTGAATCTGAATTTTTTCCAACTTGAAACCATTGCTACGAGTCCTGTCTTGGCTGGAAATTTTCAGCACGCTATTTACATCCCCTTTATTTATTCCTGTTTTCCATTTATACACTTCGATCATATCCCCCCTAATTCTACGCCTTTCGAGAGAGTGCAGATTCAGGGCCCTCAGTCTATCCTCATATGGAAGATTTCTGATACATGGAATCATCTTTGTCATCCTCCTCTGTACGTTTTCCAGAGCATTTATATCCATTCTGTAATACGGTGACCAGAACTGAGCAGCATAGCCTAAATGAGGCCTAACCAAGGATATATAGAGTTGAAGAACAACCTGAGGACTTCTATTATTTATACAGTGGACCCCCGGTATTCGATATTAATCCGTTCCTGAGAGCTCATCGAATACCGATAATATCGAAAACCGAATCAATTTTCCTCATAAGAAATAATGAAAATCAAATTAATCCGTGCAAGACACCCAAAAGTATGAAAAAAAAAATTTTACTACATGAAATATTAAGTTTAATACAATAGAATAATTACAATAACAATAAAATAATTGACACTTACCTTTAATGAAGATCTGGTGATGATTGATGGGATTGAAGGAGGGGAGAGGTGTTAGTATTTAGAAGGGGAACCCCCTTCCATTAGGACTTGAGGTAGCAAGTCCTTTTCCAGGGTTACTGCCCTTCTTCTATTAATGCCACTAGGACCAGCTTGAGAGTCACTGGACCTCTGTCGCACAACAAATCTGTCCATAGAGCTCTGTACCTCCCATTTCTTTACGATTTGTCTAAAATGGGCCACAACATTGTCATTGTAATAGCTGTGTTAGGGTGATTTTCATCCATAAAGGTTTGCACTTCAACCCACTGTGCACACATTTCCTTAATTTTTGAAGTAGGCACAATGTATTCCACAACTGGTATAGGCTTCTCAGGGTTAGCCCCAAACCCTTCAAAATCTTTCTTAATTTCCATACTAATTCTCACCCTTTTTACCACAGGGTTGGCACTAGAAGCTTTCTTGGGGCCCATGGTGACTTATTTTGCAGAAACAAGCACCAAACACAGTGATAATATGGAATGTACTGAATGTATCCTTAGATGCGCGCACACTGGCTGGCTTGTAAACACTGGCACACAAGGGGCAGTTTCAATCGAATACCGAGGAAATTTTTTTGCGATATAATGCATCGAATACCAGGGGTCCACTGTACTTCTACATATGAAGCCAAGAATTCTGTTAGCTTTATTGCAAACACTAATGCACTGTTGTCTTGGGTTTAGATTACTGCTAACCAGAACTCCTAAATCTTTTTCGCAATCAGTAGTATTAAGATCTATATTATTTAGTTTGTATGTGGCATGGTTATTTAACTGTCCAACATTTAGAACTTTGCATTTGTCAATATTAAACTGCATCTGCCACTTTTCCGACCATTGCATCAGTCTATTCAAATCATCCTGGAGTGCTCTAGTGTCCTCATTAGAATGAATTGGACGGCCTATTTTGGTGTCGTCAGCAAATTTGCTTATGTCACTATTTATTCCCTCATCTATGTCGTTTATGTAAATTGTGAACAACAACGGGCCCAACACTGACCCCTGAGGAACACCGCTTGTGACGTGCCCCCATTCTGATTTCTCCCCATTTATGCAAACTCTCTGCTGTCTATTTGTCAGCCATGCCTCTACCCAGGAAAAAATTTCTCCTCCTATTCCGTGTGCCTTAAGTTTCCTCAATAGCCTCTGATGTGGAACTCTATCGAAAGCCTTACTGAAGTCCATATACACAATATCATATTCATTACCAAGGTCTATCTCCTCAAACACCTTAGTGAAAAAAGTTAGTAAATTCGTGAGACAGGAACGCCCCTTAGTAAAACTGTGTTGAGATTCATTAATCAGTCTGTGCCTATCAAGATGGCTACGAATTGCTTCGGCAATTATTGATTCCATAAATTTTCCCACTATGGAGGTAAGGCTTATTGGTCTATAGTTCGAAGCCAAGGACCTGTCACCTGCCTTGTAAATAGGTATTACATTTGCCATTTTCCACTTATCAGGCACTATGCCAGTTTGTAGTGATATGTTCCTCTTTACATTCCTTTAACACCCTTGCAAACAGTTCATCAGGGCCTGGGAATTTGTTAAGTTTTAGTTTCTCTATTTGTCTGAGGACCATGTCACTAGTTACCGCAGTCGTACATAGTTTATTATCCTGTTCTACATAATCTATTATTTCAGGAATATCGCTAGTATTTTCCTGGGTGAAAACTGAGAGGAAGTAGGTATTGAGAATTTTACACATATCCTTATCACTGTCAGTGATCTGACCAGAGTTACTCTTAAGTGGGCCAATCTTGTCCCTAATCTTACTTTTGTATACCTGAATACCTGAATACCTTGAATCCCTTGCGACCTTAGCCTCATAATCCCTTTTTACTTTTCTTATTCCTTTATTTCTTTCTTTAATTGAATATATTGATTTGTTAACTGCCCATCCCCTCTTTTGATCAATGAGATGTTTTAATCTATTGTTCATCCATTTGAGATCATCTTTGTTAGATCTAATTTCCCTACTCGGAACAAAAATTGTCTGGGCAGCTAGAACTATGCTCTGAAAAACGTCATATTGG